TGTGTTTGAGAATCTCAACCCATCACATAAACTCATCGTCCATGAAGATACAATAAAAAAAAGAAAATTGTTTATGAAGAATGTTTTGGCCGCAATTGACACGGTAAAGATCACCACCAGTCACTTTATTCTACAAATAATGAATGGGCTATGAGAAAATTACATAGAAAAAGGAAAATGGAAATGTCACTTGAATCAGCATTCCCCCATTCATTATTCCTAAATCCTCCTCCTTCTTTTGCTTGTTGCCATTCTCTGTTGAAGCTGATTTCTTAACCTGGAAAAAGTAAATATTTATAAGTGAAAAAAAAAAAAGGTATAAGCTATTGAACAGTTAACTCAGCTAGTATACAATTTTTTGTTTGCAAATCAGATAAGGAAGAGTGAAGCAAGTAAAATAATGAGGGAAGAAACAGGTGAATGGCTTTTCAATTGCACGGAGTTGGAATCGGAATGAGCAGAAGGTTGTGGAGGGCTGTAGTAGTAGTAAGGGAAGTATGGAACAATAGGGTTCGGAGGTAGTGGAATGGGGTTTCCGTAAGGGTTAGTAGGGGGATAGTACGCGCCGCCGGAGGGTGGTGAGTAATTATCAGACTGTTGCGCGGGTGGAGGGGGTGAGTAGTAGTACACACCACCATCACTGGGTTGTGAAGGAGGTGGAGGACAATTGGACCCGGATGCCGGTGGCGGAGGAGACGGCGGTGGAAGAGATGGTGGCGGTGGAGATATAATGGGCTGGCATGGGTTGTCGCAGGAAGAGCACATTGTACAGGCTACTTGGTCTTTATTCATTTCTGTAATTGTTGACATGGCTTGAGAAAAATCATTGAAAAGAAATATAAGCAAGAAGAAAGGAAGGTGAGTGTGCTGGAGAATTCCCATTTTTGAAGGCCTTGAAATTCTTGAGCCAAGGATCAGTAAAGCGGGAGAGTCCGCAATATATAAACAGAGAAAATTGCAATAATAGATTCAATCTATTGTTTAAGTAACAAGTTAGTCTCAAAACTTTTAAAAAGAAAGAATTGGTATTCAACCTTTTATATTCAATTCCCAATCATCATATGTCCGACTTTATCAAGTAAGATTATTTATTTACTTGTGTTAGTACATGGAAATTTAGAGAGACACTTTTATGTGAGGGTCATACGACATTACAATAAACATTTGAACAGTTTTCATCGAATGATTATTTAACTATAATAAAAAGTCAATGATCATCTTGTTCTTTTTTACGGGTTGTGTCTCTCAAACAAAAGATCTAAGAGCAATAGTAAAAAAATTTAAGTAAAAAATATAGTTCTAAATTAGCGTAAGCATAATTAAACAGTAAGGCAAAACTTCCGGCTCTTAAAAATTTGAGTAAGCCTAAATATGAAAGAGTAATGCTATTTATCTCCATTGAGGTTACAACCACAATCTAGATGACGCTAATGTGACATTAAATGATAAGTGAAATTAAATAATTCACTTTTATTCAACCTATTGTCTACCACCACCTAAATTGGAGTTGCAATTTCAGTAGGACTACAAAGCATTATTCAATATGAAAAGGTGTTAAATGCAAGTAGACGATGAGGGTGCACGTTTTTTAGAAGACTAATTAAGGGATCAATTAAAAGGAAAAGCATGGAAGGAGAGACAGTGAAGGCAAGGTTGGTGGGATGGTGATTGAGTGCATGTGCATTGATGGCCGCCAGCTCCATATTCTACAGAAGTTTCTTCTACGGTACTGCCTATCATAACGACAAAAACTATGGCCATTTGGCTAAGATTTCAACAGAAGTTCAACTCATAACCCCAGTGATTATAGGAAGGGAGATGATAAAGCCTAAAAGAAAAAAACAAAGGAAAATCCTTGTAAGAAAACAAATGAAACAAATAATAAAGAGGGGAGTTACCATAAATGTTTATGAATTGCACAAGATACATTTGCAAGATGAAATAAATCAAACAATTGAGAACATGAGATTTTACGTGAAAATTCAAGACGGGAAAAAACCACGAGCAGATGAAGAGAATTCACTAAATCAAAATAAAGATTTTGTTACAAGATTCAATGTTCTCAATCAAAATCTATTGCTCTCTAATGTTGTGAAGGGGCTATAAGTTGTGAAATATATATATATACAATCCTAAAAACTATGTTTGGAATGAGATGAGTATAAGAAGATGCGTCAAAACGCTAAACGGGCCTAGGCCACATAAGACAATGGTTCGAGCTTCAGGCTCACGCCCAGCGAGCGCTGGATTCCCTATTCTAAGTGTTCGAGCTGGACGCTCAGCAAGCTTAAATGGCCCAACTTTTTCTCCTTGGTCCATAATTGAACTTCTTTAAGACCTTTTCCATCAAACAATGAATACACAAACAAATTTGAGTCAAGCTTCAACAATAAAGGAATCTTGCCTTAAAGTTGAAGGACCAATGCTATGATATAGCATTTATCAACAATTCAGGAACGCACATAGAGATCACGGCTGTTTTCTCTGTGCTTTTTGTCCTCTTGGTTGTCCCTAGCTAAATGTTTCACCTTATTTGAATTTGGTCCTTAGGAATGATAAAAATAAAAAAAAATAACAAAAAGGTTTTATCGATCAGATTTTTGCTAGTTAATTGCATGTTGTAATTCCGATTAATTGCCACATAGGAGTTCAAGAACTTACACCTACTCTGACAAATCAATTCTTGACATACTTTCTGATTGATGAGCTCTAATTTTTCAATCCTTAAATATCCTCCGACCATCGTTTTTTTTTTTTTTGGCCCCAATCTACGAGCCTTCAAACTTTAGATTTTCTCCGGTGTTTTCTAGAATGAGGTTACACTCGATGTGGGGCACCAAGAACCAAGATCTCTCAAGTATTCTTTAAGGGCGCGTTTGATAGGCTATATTTTCCAGGGAAGT